AGCAAAACCGTCATTTACTACAGTATTATTAAAACTTTTGCACCTTAATAAATATATATATAAATAACTACTGGATGCAGGTAAGTTGTATCTTTAATGCTAAAGTATATTAGCACAAGGATGGAAAAGTGGTATGAAAATTATAAATTCTTGTAATATGTATATGCAAGGTAGTTTTTGAAATAATATATCTTAAGGTCTCATTTCATTTTTCTTTAGTATATGCATTATTTGTCTCTATACATTTATACCTTAATGCATACTGACAAAGAAAAATTTTGCTTGACGGTGGGTAACTAATAATAAATAAATATTTCTGCTTGTATTTCAGGAGTAAGAAAAATTGGCACAGACTAGGGTATAGGAGTCTTAATGGGAGACTGCTATAGGGTTCAGAATCAGAAATTCCAGGATTAGGGAACTGATTTATGCCCACAATAACTCAACTGTGAAGAGTCATCATCAATGTGGTTTCCTAAGACTTTCTAAGTCTCTTTCCTACTCATTCTTAATGCTGTAGTAAACACTTTCCACAGCCAGGTGAGTAGACAGGGTCGAGGATAACTCTAAAGCAGTGTCAACTCTCCAGCCTAAATAATAGTTTTAAGCTCCTGGATTTGGCTTTTCTAGTTTATTCAGTCAAGTAGAAAGCACATGTTAGCAGCAACTGTGTGTATAGTATATCAGTAACCATTTTCTACTCCAAAGTTCAAATGAGAGTTAATATGGGTGGATTAGAAAATTTGACAGATTTTTTTCCTCAATAAACACCTACTGAGTACGTAATATGTACCAAGAAGGCGGTTCTGTATGCTCCTTGAAGCAAGGTGCCATGTCTGTCTTCATCGTTGCTGTATCTCCAGCATTTAGCTAGCATGTTGACTGGCACATGATGGACATTCAATGAATGTAGTTTGAAAAACGACAGACAGACAGAAACAGATGCACTAAAGGTATATACAAAAGATAATGCAACATTACAGGTGCCATAAAAATATGGACAAATTACTGTGGGATCTCAGGGTAGGAAGAGTTACCTCCAGCTGGAGAAACTGGGTGGGGAGGAGGGGGGCTCACAGAAGAAAGGATTTCTTTAAAGTGGAACTTAAATAATAGGAAGAAGTTTGACAGGTTGAGAGCAAGGGGAATTATTCCCATTGGTGTGAGGTACTTCAAAAAGTTTGTGGGAATAGGATTTCAAGATAATACGATCCTTCCATGAACTTCCTGAAGTACCCTTGTATATACCCTTTTATACAGGAGGAGAAACTCAAAACAAGGTAGCCAGCATACATAAGCGAGGCAGACGGCAGGAAGTGTCGGGAGCCTGGTGAGCACAAGCCCCACCTCACGGGAGCAGCCACTCCTTTCTTGCTAATCGTTTGCAACAGTGAGTCCAGGTGCCAGACTGCCCAAGTTTCCAAGGGAAGCCAGAAATCTGGACTGTTCTGTAAAATCTCTACATTTGAACTATTGGCAACTAATTAAGAGGTTTTTCTGTCCTCAGGTGTGTGACTTCTACTTTATTGTCATAACCTTGGATAAACTGATTTCTCTCTACTTAGGAGATAATCCATGCCTCACTTTCGGGAACGATAGGTATTCATTGAAATGATACACAAATTTCTTTAACATTGTTTTCTATGTTATTTATTAATATATAAATTGCAGGTGAAAAGGAGAAAGCTTAAATTTAGAATCTATTTTGGACAACCCTGTGAGATAAAAATTATTAGTTATTATTTTGCATTTTTTGCCCTTAAGAAAGGTTAACCATAATATTTTAAGCATTAGCCTGCTTTTTAAAAACATTTTCCTAAAACTTCATGAACTTAGATTTCCTTACTTTTTAGAATGTTCATAATAAGCTATTTTATGGCAGAGGGATAGGTAAATGAAGACTATGTATTATATCGAAGAGGGTTTTCCTAAATCTGATAAATAACATTAAATCTTTTAACCTTGGCTTTTGTGTACAAAGGCACCTTTAAGGGTGTCTCCAGTAAGTGCCATATTAACGCAGAAGTTTGGTTAATTACAGCCACTATTCTCACATACTTTAACTGAGTGTGAACACCAAGCAATCTAATAGTATGCCCCTGAGCATTAATACCTAATGAAATTGAATTCCTTGTTTTCTCTTGTGAGCTCATTGCTTTTCTATAAATGGTCACCGCAGGTAAATGATCAATAGCCTTGAAATTGACACCACTATGGGATTATTTTGGCAAGACAGAAATACTTTTTTTTAGTGCAAGATAAGAATTTTTGCGTATATATTTTAGACCATTTTCTAAATAATGTCGTATACAACAGGAATGACCATAGTAAGTTGCTTAGTTTGTTTTAGTGTTTAGTGGATGACTTATATAGCAGGAAATTGTGGGAAGTCACTGTCTGATATAGAACAGTGGCTTCAAACCCATATCACCCAGCTTGAATTAGAATAAACCAGACCCACTGTGCTCCTGTTAATGGAGAGACTAAAGGACAACAGGCTACGAGAAGACCTGTTTACTGCTATGGTGTCACAGTTCAGCACAAACTGTCTCTACTGTGTTAGTTTCCTAGGGCTGCCGTAACAAATGACCATAAACTGGGTGGCTTAACAGAGAGAAATTTATTGTCTCACAGTTCAGGAGGCCAGAAGTTTGAAATCAAGATGTTGGCAAAGCTGTACTGCCCCTGAGGGCTCTAGGAGAGAATCCCTTCCTCACCTCTTCTAGCTCCTGGTGGTCATACGCATTTCTTGACTTGTGGCTGCATCACTCAATCCCTGCCTCTGTGGTCACATTGCCTCTTTCTCTTTTTTCTGCCTCTCCCCTCTGAGTGTCTCTTATAAGGATACAAGATGATTTCCTCATCACGAGATACTTAATTACATCTGCACAGACCCTTTTTCCAAATAAGGTCACATTCCCAGGTTCTGGGGAAAAGGACGTGAACATATCTTTTTGAGGGCCACATTCATCTCACAACATCTACATTTCTCTACTTTCATTATGGTTAGTTGGTGAAGCTGAACACAGCCACTACTCAGGTTATTGTGATGTTTAAGCACTTTACTACTATTTTTGTTTATTCAGCAAATCATTTATAGTGTGTGTGTTTGTAAATTTAAGTTTTTGTAACCATCTTAACATTTATCTCCTAAATGCAGATAAGGAGATTGAGATTCAAAAAAGATAAGATTTTGCCCAAGGTTACAACACAGTTAATAAGAGTGCTAATTTATATTTAAAGTCATATAAATTGAGATGTTCACATACGTCTTTAGAAACTGATGTATTAGATTTCACAAGATGGATTTTCTTCATTAGATTTTTAGTCTCTGTGTTTCCCTGAGTCAGATAATCTTCCATAAAGTCCAGAACATCACTTCCAGATTCATCCTGAGGAAGAACAAGCCAAAGTAAGGTTTTGTGGAATAACAGCCTTGGGATGAAATTCATGTCAGGGTCTACTTCACTCAAAGCTGTTTGCCAATATCCAATTCTGGATTTGGAATTTTTTTTAAAAAATGAGTTTTAAGTAGACTGCAATGCTTAAGAGCATGGACACACAGACTGCTGAATTAGAGTCCAATTTCCTCCGTTGATTATGCTTTCTTGGGATTCTCACTTAACTTTCCTGTGCCTCCATTTCTTTATTTGTAAAATGGATGATAATAATAATAATAATATCTCATAAGGTCTTTTAAAGAATAAATAAAATAGTAATATGCTTAAGTAGTAACTGTTATAGTATAGACTCAATATAGAATGATTATTAATGATTATAATTATTTTACATTCAAAGTAATAATAGAGGTACCACATTCGAAATTATGATGGAATTGCAATCAGCAGACTTTTATTTGACACACAACACAGCTTCAAAGCAGAGTATGGGGCAGAGTTTCACAGTGCATGTATTCATTGATATTACTTTGTTTTGCAAAGTATTTTTATGTCCCTTTCATTCTTTTCCACACCAATTTAACCTTCTTTTCTTTGCATTCCTCTTCCCACTCTGCTCTGTACTTTATTCTTTCTTTGGGAAAAATTTAAGTTTTCATTTTTCAAGATAATTCTTAGTTAAACTTTACTAGGCTATTTCCAGATATTTAAGGCAATGTGCATTTGTAATTGAGTCAGAAGAAACAATCACATTAGCTCTGTTCCTTATGCATGAGCTCTGTCAAGAATACTTGAAACTATTTTCTGTTGGCACATTTACAGTTCTAAGAAAGCTACTGTGACTTGTAGTTTATGGATAACGTGTGGGAAGGTTCGGGGTACTGGTACTTTGACTAGGAGTCATCTACACATCATTTCCAAGTAAAAGTGGTTTAATGCTAACAAATTGTATGCAATCAATGTGCAGTTTGTTTAAATCCATATAATAGCTTAAGCATTTGTAGTATGTCAGCAAAGTAGGCAGGAAGGAGATGTGGGGCCTTTATATTTCATTTAATGGTGACTTCATTTATTGACTGTCTTTACTAATTCTTTTACATTTGTGAACCTCATAAAAATAACACCTTTATTAACAAAACTCAGTGTTGATAATGAAGAAAAATTAATGTATTCCTAGATGTCAACAGTTGGCATCTATTGTTTTATTGATTTTTTTAAAATAAGTAAATGTCAACACGGGGAAGTGAAATGAATTGTCTCCATGTTAAACTATGACTCAGTGATGAAACCAGTCATAGATATTTGAATATACATAGTTCTGATTTTATCTCTTAGCCATGACTTAATTTTCTGCCCCCTCCATCCCCTTCCATCCCCCAAATCAGAAGGTAGATTTATTTCCTGGTCCAGAAAGGCTTTAATTGTCAGTGCTTAAGGAAAAATATTCTAAAATGCATTGTTTGTTGTAAATGAAATTCTGATCATGCTTGTAACCACTGCACTTTGCCATCAAACACGATAGCCAAATTGTCCCTTTGATCAAGTGGAACCAAAGTTATGTGTGCATGAGTTGTTTCACACAGTGTCTTCTCCGACATTTAGGTGAGCTCAAAATGCCGAGGCCTCTGGTGGGAGTGCGTCACAAACGCATTTGATGGGATTCGCACCTGTGAAGATTACGATTCTATACTTGCAGAACACTCCTGTATGTATGCCTTAGACCTCCCTGCTTGCCAAGAAAGGGATGCCAAAGAAAACAGCTCAGATTTCCATTGTGTGTTTTTGTTTTCTATAGTACTGCAATGAAGTTCTATCTAGTTTGAAATGTTTTAACCTGAAATTGGATTCATTTCTGAAATGTGAATTGAAACATATTTTAGTATATTTTGTTTTCTCATATACTTGTAAATTCCTTGAGGGTAAAAAGATTATCTCATTCATCTCTGTTATCCCCCAAAGGGTCTGGCATAGTGCCTTATACACAGTAGTCTTACAGTAAATGCTTTTTGAATTGAAATGAACTATTTAGGGGGCTGTGATTTTATGATTAGAATTGACAGATTCGATGAAAAGCATTTCAGAGTTGTCTTTCAGCAAGACTTAGTTCCAGTGGAAAGTTTACAGTTATTTCAATCAAAAGTTTGCTAAAAGAGAGGTGAAGGGCTGTGATTTTATGATTAGAATTGACAGATTCGATGAAAAGCATTTCAGAGTTGTCTTTCAGCAAGTCTTAGTTCCAGTGGAAAGTTTACAGTTATTTCAATCAAAAGTTTGCTAAAAGAGAGGTGAAGGTAGAGGGGCAGAGACAGAAAAAGATAGACAGCTAAAGAGACACTCAGACCATGGAGAAGCATGGATGAAAAAACTCCACACATGCGACACAGGTACAGACGGTGTTAAGGCTGTCTCCCTCATCCATCCTACTTTTAGCTTTAAATTACAGTTAGGTGTTAGCAAGTCTTATGTTTCTATAAATAAAGAGATTTCTTAAATTAAAAAATCTATCATTGATACTCTCAATCTTTCTGCATAGCATTTATTTATTTATTCATTTATAGAACATTGAACCGTGCCAAGAAATCCCCATCCTGTTATTAAAGCAAAGTGGTTTTAATCTCTTTTATGACTGGGTGATGATACCACATGGCAACTTTTTTTTCTCAAGATAAATGAAAAGTAAACCTGTGGAATGTGACTTTTCCCCTGAACTGCTATTTCAGTGCAGGGGAAAGCACTTAAAAAGAGCAGTGCTCTAAAATATCTTCATCCGCTGCTTAGGAGTTGGGTGCCTGAAATATTTTTTTTAACATAATTCATGAGGCCTTTGTTTTATTTTTGTTTAAGATAAATCCTCTTAATTCTTTTCCTTTTCCCTTCCCTGTGCTAACCTAGTTCTGCCTACAAGGAAGCATGATTTGGTAAATAGGAATGGAAATTCACGTGGGCACTCAGCCTGTTTCAAAAATTCAGTGGCAGGGTCAGAGCTGAGGAGAACACAAAAGATTAAAATTTCACATTTCCAAATACTACTATGTAGATTTATGCAAGAAGAAAATAAAAGTACTCATATGCCCACTTCATAGAGTAAAGCACTTTTTATATTTTAATATATTCCTTCTTATCCTTTGCCTATACTGCATTTTTACAAGCAACCTACTACCAAATTTGTCCTAAAGTTACCTCACCATTGGGAAAAAATTATTTAAAATGCAAGGAAATCCCAGATCACTATGAAAATGAAGTATAAATACAGTATCATGAAAGTAATAAATTTTATTTCTCTTATTCATCAGTCAGCTAAAATAGTAATATTTCTGAATTTGGGTAACTAAATCTCCATTTGTGACAAAATTTTTAAAAAATTAGTTAATTAATTTTTTATTGGTTAAGAATATTCATGGGGTACAAAGCTGACTGTCACCACTCGTGCCCAAGATGTGAAGGCCAGATCCATACTGGGAGCATGCCCATTACCACAAATAGTGATTATACCCCGTGTCCCACACCCAATAATCCTCTACCTCCCTCCCCATCCCTCTTACCCCCCAACTCCACTTGGTATCCCTAGGTATACTCTCTCCTTCTGCAAGTCCAACGCACCACTTTGGTCTTTCTTTCCTTCCTTCTTTATCTCTTAGCTCCCATTTATGAGAGAGTACATATGTTATTTATCCCTCTGTGCTTTGTTTATTTTACTCAATGTAATTTTCTCCAGGCTCATCCATGTTGTTGCAAATGGGAGAATTTCATTCTTTTTTATGGCAGAGTAGTATTCCAGGGTGTGTGTGTGTGTGTGTGTGTGTGTGTGTGTACACACACACACACATATATACCACATTTTCCTTATCCAATTGTCCATCAATGGACATTTAGGTTGGTTCCATTTCTTGGCTATTGTAAACAGAGCTATGAGGAACATGGGAGTGCAGGTATCCCTTTGACATGATGACTTCCATTCGTTTGGGTATATACCTAGAAGTGGGATTGCTGGATTGTATGGAAGATCTATCTATAGTCGTTTGAGAAACCTCTATACTGTTTTCCATAGTGATTGCACTAATTTCAGTCCCACTCATAGTGTAGAAGTGTTCCCTTCTCTCCACATCCTCACCAGCATTTGTTATTCTTCAACTTTTTGATTATAGCCAGTCTACCTGGGGTGAGGTTATATCTCAGTGTGGTTTTAATTTGCACTTCCCTTATGACTAGTGATGTTGAGCATTTTTTCATGTACCTCTTGGCCATTTGTGTGTCTTCCTTTGAGAAAATGTCTATTCAGCTCCTTTGCCCATTTTTTAATTGGGTTTTTTGTATTTTTCACTGTGTAACTGCTTAAGTTCCTTGTAAGTTATGGATATTAATCTCTTGTTGGATGCATAGTTAGCAAAAATATTCTCCCACTCTGTAGTTTGTTGTTTCACTCTGTTGATTGTTTCCATTGCTGTGAAGAAGTTTTTTAGTTTGATATGGTCCCATTTGTTTATTTTTTCTTTTGTTGCTTGTGCTTTCAGGCTCATGTTCATAAAGTCTGTGCCCAGATCTAGTTCCTGAAGTGTTTCACCTATATTTTCCCACAGTAATTTTACAGTTTCAGGTCTTATATTTAAGTCTTTAATCCATTTTGAGTTGATTTTAGTATCTGATGAGAGGTGCCTGTCTAGCTTCATTCTTCTGCATATGGATATCCAATTTTCCCAGCACCACTTATTGAAGAGGTAGTCTTTTCCCCAATGTATGTTTTTGTTGCCTTTGTCAAATATCAGGTGGCCGTAAGCCTGAGGGGTGATTTCTGGGTTCTCAATTCTGCTCCACTAGTCCAGCTGTCTATTTTTATGTCAGTACTATGCTGCTTTGGTTACTATAAGTTTGTGGTATGATTTGAAGTCAGGTACTGTTATGCCTCCGGCTTTAATTATTTTTCTCAGGATTGTTCTGGCTATTTGGGGTCTTTTTTTGTTCCATATGAATGTTAAGATTGTTTTTTCCACTTCTGTGAAGAATGTCATTGGTATTTTGATGGAGATAGCATTGAATCTGTAGGTCACTTTGGGTAGTATAGACATTTTCACAATGTTAATTCTTCCAATCCAAGAGCATGGAATGTTTTTCCATCTTTTTGTGTCTTTAATTTCTTTCAGTAGTGGTTTGTAGTTTTCATTGTAGAGATCTTTCACCTCCTTGGTTTAATTGATACCTGGGTGTTTTATTTTTATTTATTATTTATTTTTTTGTGACTGTTGTAAATAGGCTTACTTTCTTGATTTCTCTTTCTGTTACATTTGTGACATAATTTTCTTATTTTTAATTAAGCAAGACTGTGACTCAGAGTTCAGGAGGCTTTCATAGTTGAAGATATTTCTACTGCAGAAGAAGACTGCCACTGTTTCACTTTCATTTGCCTGATCTTCTCTTTCCTAGACTTTCTACCATATATTCTTAATAGCTGTAGTTTTAAAATATGCACATTTAATGATGCAAGGTTGAAGGGTTAATATGGAGTGTTGGCCAAAAAGAGTCATAATATGAAGGGCTGAAAAAGAATATGATCTGGCTTTCAGATATAGTCTTCTATCTAATAGTAGAAATTACCTCCTTCTTAACATCTGCTGATGGCTCCCACCAGCCTAAACTGGCAAGAGAAGTCTTGAAATATTTTATCCTCCTTCCCTGTGCCAAAGTTTAATCAATTATTTAAAACAATTTTTTTAGTATAATTTCAAACAATTATGGTGATCATTTATTCATTCAATATTTATAGGATAACTTCTGCAGAACAGGTATTCTACCTTCAATTCAGCATTCAGCTGTAATACTTATGAACAAGACCCAGTGCAGGAGACAAAAAGAAAAACATTTATTTAATCCCCATTATCTATCAGGATACTATCTGCTAGGATGTCAACAAAACTAAGTAAGGGATGCTTAAACAAATAATAATGTAAATAATCTCATAATTATGAAAAAAGTAATGGTACTCACATTCAAGTTCATACAAATGTGAAGTCTGACTTCTATCAGTGGGCCTGTGTTAATGTTAATGTTGTTTGTCTTTTGACGTACCTCTGTGAGCTAACATGTTTGCTTCCTCTGCCTCTGCTGTAACTGTATGCCTTGGTCTTCCAGTGAAACTGGTAGCAACTCGAGCATTGATGATTACTGCAGACGTTCTCTCTGGGTTTGGATTTATCACCCTGCTCCTTGGTCTTGACTGCGTGAAATTCCTTCCTGATGAGCCATACATTAAAGTCCGCATCTGCTTTGTTGCTGGAACCACACTACTAATAGCAGGTACTGGTCTGGACTAGTGATAGGGGTAGAGATAATGGGTTAGGGACTTGAGGTGAAGGAGAAGGGTACAGTTCATTCTAGGATTATATGTAGCTTGCTTTTCCAGATTGAAGTAATAAAGAACACATCTACCAGCTCTACTTTCTTTAGCTTTGGAGTCAGATAATTATTAGTCTTTTGTTAATATTCCCAATCAAGTTATGCCAAAGTTTTCAAACTACTTTTTAGCAATTTAAACAGTTATATAATGCCTTAGATTTTAAAAATAATTTTCTTTGTTATTATTCCAGAAGTTAAACCCTAAAGCCCCAAACCACCACCTCCTAACCTATACCCACCCCCAGAAATTCTTTTTGGCAAATGAACTAAGTTGTACCAAGTCCAAGTTAGTCTTTTCTCATGTGCCAACCCATTTGATCGTAAATGTAACAATAAACAGATCATATTATTATCCCTGCTTAAGAAGCAGATAAAGAAATGGAGTTCTGAAGACTAATAAATCAAGCATGACTAATAATAAGTCAAGAAGCACTTTCTTTACATGGTATTTATAAACAAGAGAGCAAAATTGATATTTTACTCAGGTCTATCTTCAACTTCAACACTTAGTCTTCCTCTATCACAACATAATGCTTTCGTTGGATCTGAATGCAAGTCAGGAGGAGCTATACTGTTGAAGAAATCAAAGTGCAGGAAGATTGTAAACCAAAGGGCACACCCTTTAGAGAGAAAACCATTCTTATATGGCAGAAGCAAAAATTTATCAAAATCATTACAAATGAGAACTGACCAGGCAGTGTGGGTTAATGAATGGATAGTAATTTTGGAACGAAAAATACTCGGAGCTATATATGTGTGATATCTTCACCTACATCTCTGTTTCCTGATCTGCAAAATAGGGTGAAGCTGGTGCAAAAAAATATCTACCCTAAATTGCTACTGTGAAGACTCAATGTGGACCAAGCAAGCTCTTAGCAGAAGGTCTAACCCTTTATACACTCAAAACTGGGGCATCTTTGATTTTTTTCACACAGAAACATTGATTCAAGGCTCTAAAAATCTTCAGGTTGTATTAAAAAGTGACCAGAATTTAGTAATTCTTTCTTTCTAAGGCATTTACTTCCAAATCCAGCCTACTGACAGCATAAAGCTTTTGTATATAACAATGTGTTTTATTTAACAAACTGAAACATTATTTAAGGCTGTAGACAATTTTGTTCTAGAATACTTTCTGAGGCATCACTAGATGCCCCATTTTTTATAAAAATAACAAAACAAAATTTAAAGAAAATGCAAGTTGCTGAAAGAAATCCCTGTAGGAATGACTGAAAAAAAATGACTAGATTAAATGGCCAGAGATGGCAAAAGCTTTGGAACCACCATTCGGAATGAGTATGCTACATAAATGTATTTTTAAAGTCCATAATCTATTCTAAATTTTACAGAAGGAATTTCCAACTTAAACCTGTAGGTAACAGTATTATAGAAAAGGTGTGGTAATTTATACCATGTTTTCTAAAGGTTATATGTTCAGGATCTTAAATTCTAAAGGTATATGTTCTTCTTAAACTCTACATTAAACAATTAAGAGAAAAATGCAATAAACAGTGATTTAAATAGATATCACAGACTCCCAAGGGGAAAAAATGTAAAAGTTTTCTTGGAGGCTACAAATTTTAGAAATACTCATTTAACTTAGGCTTTTGTCCCCCAATTCACCACCTTTCTTTCTTGCATCTAGGCCTTGACATGCAATTTACACTTTTAAAGTTAGAGAAACTTAGTGGCATCATTTCAAACTGGTCAATTGTCAGAGATCTGTAGGGATTAAATTTTATTTAAAGGGAGTAATATTTCTTGGTCTATTCTTATACAAGGATACAACAAAAAGTTGGAGAAAAGATGGAATTAAAAGACAATATGAAACCTTCTATGAACTTTTTGAAGACCCCCCTCATATGGTGTGGGGTGGTATATCAGGATTTATGTGAAAATAAAGAACAATTTTTATTTTAGTTATTTTTTTTTTGACCCCAATACACTAAAATGAATGACTTTAAAAATATAGTTTCTGGGCCGGCAGGTTGCTCATTTGGTTAGAGCACGGTGCTGATGACACCAGTCAAGGTCCCATACCTGCCAGCCGCCAAAAAATAAAATAAAATAAAAAACAGTTTCCATATGGGTACTGATTATGCAGCTGGCATAGCTTCAGTTATGGATCTAGGGAATAGTCCTAATGGTATACACTTGCAATTAAAAAATCAGTATTGAATTAACATATGCTCTAAATTATTTGTGTCAGGTCATGTGTTCTCTCTCTGTTGTTTTTTTTTTTTTTCCTTCTCTTTTTAGTATTTTTCTTTATACAATACAAAAATAGCATTGAGAAGATAGGAAAATTAAAGAAAACCACAGTGATCACTTTAGATTTACACAAAACAGATGAGCACTGCTTTATTTCATTTTTGTATTTCCCTTATAAACTGAGATAAAATTCATAAGATATACAAGATGAAAAGCAAAAGGAAAAGACAGAAGAGGTGTCCAAAATTTGAGTTGCCCATGAATTCATAGTATCATTATTACCTCTGTAAATGACGCCATCCATTCTGGGTATTAAGCAGGTCTCCTTGGATTTAAACTTGGAAAACGCTTCATATTATTCTCAGCATCTCCCTTTCTTCCAGGTGCCCCAGGAATCATTGGCTCCTTGTGGTATGCTGTTGACGTTTATGTGGAACGTTCTTCTCTGGTTCTGCACAATGTATTTGTTGGCAACCAAAATAAATTTGGTTGGTCCTGTTGGCTTGGAATGTCTGGGTCTCTGGGTTGCTTTTTGGCCGGATCTGTCCTCACCTGCTGCTTATACTTCCTTAAAGGTAAGAACGAAATAAAATAGCACAGTTCCTTGCCTCCATGATCATCCCTCCCAACACAATGGAAACACAGCTCACAATAACAATACAATGTTGCTTATTCAAATTCCTTCCTATTACCATTAACAATTCTAGTTGCTTGGGCCAGCCCGGTGGCGCACTGCTACAGTGCACCGCTTGGAAAGCGCGGTGGCGCTCCCGCCGAGGGTTCGGATCCCACATACAGACCGGTTCCCGCTCACTGGCTGAGCGAGGAGCGGGGGCAACACTGAGGGTTGCGATCCCGTTGCCGGTCCCGGTCCGGTACGGGCACGACACTGAGGGTTGCGATCCGTTGCCGGTCACAAAAAAAAGGAAAAAAAACAAAAAACAAAAAAAACAATTCTAGTTGCTCAAGGACAACTGAATTGTGATACTCAAACCGTAAATTACCCAGTTAGTGGTATATTATTGGAAAAAGAAAATCCGCAGTGACAACTGTGTTCAATATGCAAGTACAGAATGGTTATTTTGATGCCATCATGGTCTTATATATCTAACTTCACCCAATCAAGTAAATTTGTATTTAGAGCTAAATGGAGAAGTGAACTGAGAGTCAAGCAAATACTTGTTGTTAAAGAATTTGTTGTGTTATATTGGATTTCCCATAATATCCCTTTTAAAAACTAAGGGAATCCCTCTCTTCATCAGAAATAGCCTCTTTTGGGGAAGAACATATAAAATGGCATTTTTTTTTTTTTAACTTTCCAAAGTTTACTGAGTCGTACTTATGTTTATGTCTCTGCATTTCTCTCTTTCAAATAGATGTTGGACCTGAGAGAAACTATCCTTATTCCATGAGGAAGGCCTATTCAACTGCTGAATATGTTGCCCCTCGGTCAGAGACTGCCAAAATGTATGCTGTAGACACACGGGTATAAAATGTCACATATCAATCTGTGTTTATATATTATTTAATTAATCAATCCATATGTTCAGGTTAACAAAATAACAGGTCAATCCAGGAACAGTTATTTAGACTACACGTCCAACTAAATTCACAGCTAGCTTAATCAAAAAGTTTGCTTCTCCTATGACTTCTTTCTCTTATTCTCATATTCTCCCTTATTCTCTCTGCTCTCCTCCCCACCCACCCACACTTTCTCTATATTTTAAGATAAGTTTGCTAAGATGTAGAAATATTTGTTGGTGATTTCTATATGGCTATTAGAGCTTATAACATCACGATATTTAAATAAAATGACACTTCAAAGGTAGAAAGCAATCTTCGAAAAAGGCCAGAAATTCTAATCTTTGAAAGGATTGACAAGCTGTTAACTCTCTCCCTGTCTTTTGGTCCATTTTTTGTATTCTCAGCAAGTGAGTGAGTTATTTGATAACTTTGAGGAAGATGATTCTTCCAAATTCAAACTAGTATATCAAAGCCTACCATTACTCTGATTCTGTTGAAACAGAAAAATAAAATAACAGCTTCATCTACCAGCTACTGGTGGAAGTTAAAGATAAGAAGTTCCACCCCCACACTCTAAATGTCAAAGGCAAGTGCTAAATTAAGACTGAAGTCAGTGGTGACCTTCTACCTCATTAACATTATAAAAGATTTGTGTATTATTTCACCACTACTCCAAACTTGCCTACATATTGCCAAGTTATTACAGCAGTAATAGCTCAACCAAGGAGCTCACTCATTTATTGATTGGACAACCCAATACATTTCAAATTCTATACTAGAATTTACCAAACAAGTGCCCATTCACCACTGGATCATCAGCACCCAGCAAAGTACCTGACATATGACAAAATTCAACAAATATATGTTTATTGAAGGAAACAAAGGCTCACAACTCTACTGAAAAAATCAATTTACCTCATAAAATATGTATGTTTTGAAAAAAATAGAATTATAAACACACTTAAAGAAGTCACTGATGAGAGCTAATGACATTTTATTCATAATGTAATCATCTTAAATTTCTAAAATTGTAGTTTTTTAAAAGATTATAAAATTTAATCTCAAATTTTCTGATTCTTTGAAAATCACAAATAATATTAATACTCTTGCAATGCCTTAAAACAATATTAACTGAACTAGAAATTAGTTCATTGAAAAAACAGAAATTAAGTTGTGAATTTCTAAGACCCCAAAAGAAGTGTTTGAAATTTAAAAAGCTAAGAACAATGTGAAATGAGATGATGAAACCCTAGTACATGTATTGATGTTCAGAATGTTGTTTATGACTTCACACAGTATCTCTTTAACAGTATTTTCTAGAGCAATTCCAACCTAATCTTATAATGAATAGCAATTGATTCACCATTAACTCGTGGATATTATTAACTTTTATTGGCATTTAAAAAATAATTTGTAGATCATGTGTACTAGTTGTTTAATTATTATTCTATGTGTTTTAAAACTTAGTTTGTGCTGTACTTTTTTTCTCAACCTTGTTTTTTATTTTTATTTTTATCACCACTTTATTTTGTGATATATTGTCTCTCTGTTCAATTATTTCCCTTTATTCACCAATTTACTAATACAAACTAAGGAGCTTTATTATCAGTGGGATGATTTATAACTTATCATCCAAACTGGTACACTATTAGGACTAAAAGTGTGTACCATTAATAATAGCCAGGATGTTCCTGGGAAAGCATACAATTAACTCAAAGAGTGACATGTACAATTTTTCAATATTTTTCAATTTTGAGCATGACTATGAACTCACTGATTTTCTTTGATTCAATGTGTTTTAATCCAATTCTGATACTCAAATTAGTAAATTTTTGGTCACTGGGGCTTCTTTTAGATAGCTTCTGCATTTTCTTGACATAGCCCTATCAATATTTTTTTTTCAGTAATCTTAATGTTGACATGCTGAAAGTCCTGCATTTTATGTTTATTAGCCATTTGGATATCCTATTTGGTGAATTTCTTGTTCAATTTCTTTGCCATTTTTTCTATTGGGTTGTCTATCTTTTTCTTACTGTTTTGTAGGTATTCGTTACATACTTTTTGAGTCTTTTGTCCAAGATATGTTTGCAAATATCTTTGCCTAGTTTGTGAATTGTATTTTCACTCTATTAATGGTATTTTCTGAAGTTTTTTTTTTAGTGTAGTTCAGTTTATTATTTTTTTCCTTTATGCTTATCATTTTTGTATCCTGATTAAAAATTTTTGTCTACCCAGATTTATGATGCTATTCTCTTCTGGTTTCTACTAAACTGTGTATTTTAGGGGTCCATTATATTTTATTATGTGAAAACTTTAAGTATAACACACATGCAGAAAAGTACACAAATCATAAATGTATAATCTGACAACTTTTTACAAACTAAACACACTATGTAACCAGCATCTAGATGAAGAAACAATACTATGCCAGAACTTCAGAGATTATTTTTCGCACACTTTTTAGGTGATTCCTCTATAGCTTGCATAACCCCAGTTAACTGACACAACTTTAGAAACCACTTTAAGAAAAATAATGAATAAAGGTGATTTCTACACAAGGGATTAGATGGTACAACTTATAGCTTTCTAATTATATTCTTCATCATATAATTTTCTTGTTTTTAGTACTGTGAACTTTAAAAATTTCAAATATACTGGATGAAAATCTAATGACCAATAGCTAGTTCACAAACAAATGTATTATTAAAAACAGTTGATTGACTAGACACACTCATGTGCAAATGTACACACATAAACACTTAAATGATACTTTCTGAGATTAAAATCAAGTAGAGCATTTAGAGTATAATGTTGAAGAGTATTTCTTTTATCTCCAGAGTTTCCTTCCTTTGAATATAGGTTGTATTTCATGGGGGCCTGGGATGTCATACAGACTCAATATTTCATGAATAAATGTTTCTTTTTAAGTACAGTAGGAATTTCTACCACCTACTCAATTTGGCAATCAAATTTGCTGCTCAACTTAAGTATGAACTCAAGTGTTTTTGAATAAATTTATTTTAAAGAAGAAAATGAATGATTTTCATAGGCAGCCTTTAATTTGCAGATGACAGGGTTGTGGGAAAATACATGCCTCCTATGTATACATACCTCCTATGAGTAGATGTATTGGCTTTAACGAACTTCCTATAAGAATAACAATACTTTGTTTAGCATTTTTTTCACAGAAAACTGAACTGAGGTCCTGAAAATAATTCTAAGGTCATTCTTAATTTGGCAATTATTCACACCAGTAAATTTTAAGATAACTGATTTCTTTTTAGTTTCTCTTCATAAGGAAATTAGATAATATATAAAAATACAAAATATAGAAAGAAATAAAAAAGGATGGGGATATTCTAAAAAATTTTCTAATAATGCAAAATATTGTAAAAAATTATAGAAGGGAGAGAATGCTATCTAGATTACTAGCTTATTTATGAAGCAGTTCACCATAGATAGTGACACATACTGATTTAATTATTCACATCCTCTAACTTCATTTCAGCCTCACTTTAAAGAGAAGTAATCACGGAAGTGGGAATCGAAGTACCACACAGTCTCTTAACTAATTCTCCCTATAGAACTAGAAATTCACACACACACACACACACACACACACACACACACACACACACACAGTAATATTCAGGAATGTAACTATTTTCTTCCAAAAGTTTTTTATTTTATTTTATTTTTTTTTTTTATTTTTGTTAAATTTTTATTTTGTCAATATACACTGTATATGATTATTATGGCCCCAAAAGTTTTTTAAAACATAAAAAATTTAGTGATAAGAGAAGCGCTACATTAATGATTTAGAAGTATAAAATAGTAATGATTTAGTCCTAGAATAAATTTTTGAGGTCATTTTGTTTAACTTATTCTACAAAGGTGCTTGTTGTTTCACTTATTTTTAATAACAACATGATAAAAATAATATAAAGGCTTTTCTAAAAATAATGGTGTCATATACAATAATATTATGTCAAGTCTATGAATAATCTGTTGTTAATTAATTTAAAAACACACCATTCTGTGTGCTACATACCAGGTATTTTACGTTTAATAGTAAAATTGAAAGTTGTCTTGGACTCACTCATTACCTTCATTTCCACACCAGCCAAACATTAACTGCTACAGATTTCAACTCATTATACGCCCTCTAAGTCATTCTCTTAGTCCAAGTCATTACCTTCATCCTAGCCTAAATTGTCTTCTCTCTTCTGGATGATTACAACAAACTCGTCTTTACCTTCCTCCAATCCAGGCTTGCCATCTTATTTTTCTGGGTATAAAGTAACAAAACTTGTAATGATTTTTTTTTTCGGCTGGCCATGAGTTGGTCTCTGAGTACCCTTCCTACCTCTCCTTTCCCCACTCTCTCTCTTATTCATCACCTTTCAACCAGACTGCATTTCTTCCTCTACCTCACAGGCCCCATGCTCCTCTTGCCTCTAGCGCTGGAACAGCTTCTCCCTTTGGCAATTTCTCCTGCAACATCCTTCCTATCTCCAGTAACACATCACTTCTTCAGGGAGACTTTCTCTCACTCCCCTCTAGGTGGGTTACCTATTGGTATGTCCCTAACTTCCAAGGGCTCTCTTTTCATCGCCGCCATTGAACTCACTTATGAGCATAGTTTCATGTTCTATAGCTCAATTTCCTGTGACATGGCAAGCTCCAAGAGGCCAAAATATTTTCAGCCATGTGCACTGCTCTATTCCCAGTACCTGGCACAGTGCCTGATGCATAGTAGGCCCTTAACACATATTTTTGAATAATGAGTAAACAAATGGCAATAATCCCCTGGCCTGGAAGAGCTAAACATATATTTCATGTGATTTATTTGTTTGTTGGATTGTTTCTTCCTTTACTCACGAATGCATTTGTGCAGATTTTTGAAAATGCCATCTCTCTGTTTTCAAACAGCAGAAGGCATAGATAGGTTAAAGACATTAAAAACAA